AATAAATATAGATCTCCTGGTCCAGCCCGCAGCCAGCATGGTGTAGTGATTAGATTGTCAGTCTAGGATCGCGGAAACCAATACTCAAAGGTGACCTGTTTACGAGACAGTGGGTGACCTTGGGCCAACAGTTACCCAACCTCACCAGACCGCTGCAAGGATAAAACGGGGAAAGGAGAACCACGTTAGCTGTCCTGAGCTTCTTGGAAGAAGGGTGGAATACAAGAAGAAGAAACGAGGAGGAGGAGGAGGAGGAGGAGATTGGATTTATACCCTGCCCTTTACTCAGAGTGGCTTACAAACTCCTTTCCTTTCCCTTCCCCACAACAGACACCCTGTGCGGAAGGTGGGGCTGAGAGAGCTCTGAGAGAACAGCTCCGATAGAACTATGGCTTGCCCAATCTCATCCCAGCAGCTTCAAGTGGAGGAGTGGGGAATCAAACCTGGTTCACCCAGATTAGAGTCCGTACTACAGGATCATGTCGTTCACTCCTCTGCATAAGGAGGGGAACAGGGACGGCAGTTCGTGAATCAAGAAAGCCTGGATTTATCAGCGTCGCCTGCCTTTAGAAACCAGGTATCTGCACCCTGTTGCGGACTACACTTCCCAGCCATTGAAAGTGGACTCTATGTGGAGCGGTCCTTCTGAAGATAAACTCTCGAGGAGAGAGAAGCTTCTCTCTGTCCACCAGAGTGCCTGTTATGCTTTATTCCTGCAGCTGAGAATTGATCAGGACAAGGGCACGCAACATTTGCCTTTTTTGCCTCACAGCTGCTGCGACAGAGGTCACAGGAACATGGCAAACTAGGCCTGGGGCTGCTGCCAGCGCAAAGGTCAGTCTCGATACTCGACCAGCAGGCAAGCGCCTGCGAGCAGGAAAATGCGAAAAGAAGCGTTTTCCCTTCCTCTGAGGGACAGAGAGCTCTCTTTGCCATGCCAACCCAAAGGTCTTCGTCTTACATTTGTATCTCTTTGCATAATTGTTTAGATGCTTTGTGCCTGACGCCGCTGCTTAACCCTGACTTGGCATTCCTCAGGCTCAGAGCCCAAGTATCCGCTCTCCAAACATCAGAAGTTGGTTTTGTTTTTTAAAAAGGTCTATTTTGGGGGGTGGGGAAGGAACACGGACCCAATGCGTTAAAAAAAATATAGGTTGGTCCTCAGAAGAACAGTCTTCTAGTTCTGAGGGCTATGGAGACAAATACGTAAGCAGCAAGTTCGTGAAAGGCTTCTCCAAGTCACAGTGGGTTCGGGATTGTTATTTACTCACTTCATTTATACCCCGCCTTTCTACCCAATGGGGACTCAAAAGTGGCTTAACGTCATTCTCCTTTTATCCTCACAACAATCCTGTGAAGTAGGTTAGGCCTAGCATGTGTGCGACGGGCCCAAGATCACTCAGCAAGCTTCCACTGCAGAATGGGGGGGGATTCAACCCTGGATTTGTATTCATAGCCTTCTGTGTCCATATTAAATACTTTTCTGGAGAGATAGGACTCCTGGGATAGGGCAGGATATAAGCTTAATAAATAAATAAAATAAGTCTCAGCTTGAAGAAGATATCCTTTACACAGTTGGATATCCTGACCCAGGGGTCACAAACTGTTGGGTGATAGTGAGATATTGAAAAATGGTATTTAGCAGATATAAAATAGCCCAGCAGAGCCTGAGTAAAATAATTCAGACTGAGAGTCCATGTGTGATTAAAATATAAAGTTTTTACTAAATTCTAGCATGGGGAAGGGTTACTGGGATGAAAATAACAACAGAGCTAAATCGGCTACATCCTTACACTACAAAGACAGAACTAGAAGAGAGCAATTATGGCTACTCTTACTTCTTCTTGAGAACAGCAAACAAAGACGGGAAGAGGAGCCATAAAATGCTAAAAGACTTTGACACTTTCGTCCCAATCAAACTCCTAGATCAGGGAGAAAATCCCCGGGCTTCTTACAGCTAAAGAACATTGGTTACATGAGAAACATGTGACTTCCTGTGAGTAACAGTAACAAACATTTAACCCCAGATATACTGAGTGTTTTTAACTTGTAATACCCAACACAAACCCATAGACCAATGGCTCAGATACTGTACCAAGGGAACCTGTTTTCCAACCATGAGTGGTGTCCTTGGGACCATTATAACCACTACAGGACATGGGCCATATATGGGGTGGGTAAAGATTCACACGTCCTAATTTTTTTCCAAGAGTCTGTAACTGCTGCCTATCATTCCTAACATCTCTCCTTTTCTGACCTCTACTCTCTTCAGTATCTGCCAAAGTAGACCCCGCCCCCAAACATGGCATTGGGAATTATGCAGATTGCATGAATCACAGTGAATTAAAATACTATGCATAATTTAATCTGAACAGTTATTGCTAAAAGCCATAAATAAAACTCTCTCTCTCTCTCAGCACAGTGTCTTAGTTCCCTTGGGGCAATATATCTCTTTCAATTTTTTTTTTGCACAAAGTACACTCTGTCCTAGCTCTATAAATGCCTAGGGAGAGAGTTACGAGAAAAATTCAATCTGTTATCGTAGCTTGCCTTTGTAATAGAGAGGACCCCAGGAACCTTATTTTCCAAAATTACTACTAGTAAAAACTGTAATGGAAAGATTTTAAATGCTGGCAAATCAATACGTGCTAATATAAAAGCAGAGGAAGCAAAGGGGGGGGAAAAAGGTATTTCCATTAACATTAAAATGTTTAAAGGCTCACCGTATTTGACATCTGGAACAGTCACAGAGCTCTCAGCTATGTTTGTAGACAGAAGGATCTACAGGAAGGATTTAGAGAAAATTAAATATGCAAAGAAAGAAAAGTTCTTTAACTGTAGAGCCCAGCAAGTGTTGTCTGAGTGATTAACGAAACAGAGGCGTACAAACTGATCAAAGCATAAGGTAAAGGTCAAGGTTCCCTTGCTTGAAAGCCAGTCGAATCCAACTCTAGGGTTGCGGTGCTCATCTCCGTTTCAAAGCCGAAGAGCCGAAGACATTTCCGTGGTCATGTGGCCGGCATGACTAAACACCAAGGCGCACGGAAAGCTGTTACCTTCCCATTGAAGTGGTACCTATTTATCTACTTGCAATTTCTTGCTTTCAAACTGCTAGGTTGGCAGGAGCTGGAACCAGAGACGGGTGCTCACTCCGTCATGCGGCACACTCGGGTCTCGAACTGCTGAACTACCGACCTTCCACAGCCTGCAGTTCAGCGTCTTAACCACTTGAGCCACCCCAGCTCCTAGCGTAGAGAAAGCTTTATTCAGGAATTAACATACTTGATAGTGAAGAGTAGAGATAGAGGCAGGTTTCTAGCTACATCACTAGCTGAGAGAGAAGGAGATGGAAAGCTGTGGAGCTTCGGAGAAGAAGCAGGATACTGCCCTAAGAATAGCAATCTAGAGACAGATGAGGAATGACGCTTATCAGGAAAGAAGGTGCTGACCTCGCTATCCTATCTCCAGGGAAGAAGGCAGTGGATGGAGATCCGCTTGCATCCCTACTGCCTTCTGTAAGTACCCAAGCAAACATAAGCATAGACCATTTAAAAGGCCTTTTGCATTCCTAAAGGGGTGGGGAGAGATTCAGGTTGGACAGTCGTCCCTTTATATATATATATATATATATATATAGAGAGAGAGAGAGAGAGAGAGAGAGAGAGAGAGAGAGAGATCCGTTTATGCCATCACACACTCTTACGT